TTTAAAATTATATCTAATTTTATTAAAGTTCATAAAAACATTACTAAATGGAATGCTGAAGATGGCGCAGAACCTCGGCTTTTAAGATCTCTCAGCTCTGAGTTTGCTTGACTTTGCCACTTTCTTTGCTTTTAATTTGTGTTTTGGATAGGAGTAACAAAATATTAAGAAAGTCAAACTTGTTTTAAACGGTATTAAAAATTGCATTCATTTAGAAAAAGAACAACATTTATTTATTCTAAAATAAAAGCTTAACATTTAAGCAAACATTGTCTTAATAAGCTTATCCTGAATATAATATTATTCTATTTTATACAAGTATTTATTTAAAAATCTCAGAATGTGTGAATAAATTCCCATAAACCCAATGATCTGATATTTGCTTTGCAGCGTATTGTAAGGTTTCAAATTTTTTGTGTCTAAAAAAAAGCTTTAAATTAAAATACAAATGGTCTTCAAATGCCCAATGTTTTTCCTAAACATAGGAGATTTTCTATTTCATACAAATATTTATGGAAAAATATTTGCAAAATCTCAGCATTTATGAATTAAATTTCCGTAAACACAATTATCTTCGATTTTCTTATAAAGGAAAAGCAAAGAAATTTGAAGAATCCACTCATTTCTCCATTAAAGGTGCTTCCAATTTAATTTCAAAGAATTGTTGAAATAAAATCAAAAAATTGAAACCGAATTAGAATTATTGTGACTATTAATCACAATATATTTTTCCGAAATATTATTGTTTTCTATTTGAAATAATTTGAAAAATTTATTGCTAAAGGAAGAATACAAGTATAACTTGTTGATTCGCTTCCATGCCACATTTGGCAGCATCCACACACACATGCACTCCTTATGGTTAGGGTATGATAGTATTCAAGAAAGCTGGGTCAGTACTCATTATTTATTTACTTCTTTATTGGGTGTGGGCTTATTCTGCAGCTCTCTTGTTTACACAAACTTATGACTTTATTGCTTTCTCAGTGCAGGATATCTATATTAATAAAGTTATCTACTATATTGCTCAAAATTTGAAATTATCGAGATTATGCATGATTTTAATTCAATAGCCCTCAACAACCAGCACGAACATTCTACTGGCATTTGCAGAGGTAAATAATGCGGCTAAGCTGCCAAATAAATGATAACTCATTAATTGGTAACTTCAATGGGCTTTGTTGGACGAAGGTAGGTGAAGCATTGCTGGCTTTTGATTTCCGATAATAAATTATTTGATATATTGTTGGAGACCACAAGCCATCAGCATTTAAGCCCAGAACTGTTAATTACAATTCATGGTCGGATTGCATTTGCATTGGCTCGATTTGATTGAAATGTTTGCGGCAGACTAAGCCGCACACAGATGCAATAGAAAGAGCAACAACACTAGCGTCAATGGTAATGATGAGGGCTTGATGCAAATTCATATTCAAGCGATTTTGATTTATGGTTTTGCAAATCTCTATTGCTGTTTCCTTTTTTCGTGCGATAGCTCAACAATAGTTCTAATTGAAGGAATGTGTTTCTTTTATCGAAAGTGCGAATAGATCGCAATTATTATGGCATCTTAGAATTTTTAAGTAAATTGTACGGCTTTAGAAGCTTTTTTAACTCATGAAGTTGTTTTCATACCAGAATAAAAGCTTTAATTCGACCTCTTAATACTCAGCTTTAGATATTTAGTTTAACAGTTAAGCCACTTATTTGTTATATCGTGCTTTATATAAGCATAATTTTTAAAAGATATTCGAAGATATTCTCCCAAAATTTCTTTTAAAGACAGCTTAAATGACAGCTTTCAGCTTGACAGATTTTCGAAATTATTCGCCCAAGACTGTTTTTTTAAATGACAGCTTAAATAGCTGCAAAAATAGAAAAAATCAAGACTTTCTTGAACTTCCTTGATATGAAAAATCCCAACTTAATAAAAATAAAGAGAGGTGTCTACTTTGCTTGCTGTCAGTAGTGAGTTTGTTTCTTTGATAGGAACAGAATACTTCTTTGTCCTGTAGACCGTTCAATATTTTGATTCAATCGGAAATGTCTATCTTTCAATCAGTCAACCAAGCAATAAATTGAAACAAATATCAATACATAAATTGATTTATCAAGCTCCCATCTTGCAGTGCAATTTCTAAAAATAGTTGCAACGATTGTAATTTGGTTCTAAATGCTGATTTAATTCTCGTAACTTGCCTTAAATTATTGCCGAATTAATGGACTTTTAAGCACAAGTTGGTCAGTTTTAAATGCTAATAGTGCCTCATTTTTCCACCACTTAGGTTCCTGGCCAAGTGCGATTCGACTTACCAACATTCTACCATGTGTCTTCCACTTGCGCGCATCACGAGCAACGTTTAATGAACTGTACAAGTAGAAATTATATTTTCCGCACAAATTCAGATGCAGACACGCACACACACACACATACACACCCATACAAACACAGAAATACAGAAATACCCAGATACAGTTTAATTTTTGCTTGTCAAGCTTAATTTGCGCTTCAATGCATTGCTTGTCTCTCAGAATATTCGTTATTTGTTTATATGTGGGGTTTTTTTTTTCTTGTCAGGGTGTACGAGTATGTGTTGTGCTTGCATGCACGAATGATAGACCGACGGATAAACGGACAGACGAACGGACGGGCAGACAGCTATGCGAATGCTGCAGGAATGAGCGACGCAAACAAATCAACCTTACGTCGTACAATCCCCCGAAATGCTCTTCTCATCAAGTAGCCGCCCAGTCAGCAGTTCTGCTTCTAACACTATGGAGCACATATTGATGTTTTTTTCTAAAGGATGCTAACTAAGACCAGTTGTTCTTGTTTCCGCCAATGTCTGTGCAAGCTATCTCTCATATCGATATCAGAAAATTGTAAACATTTTGGCTGGGCACGTACTAAACTGCTAAGGCTCTGAAAAGTACCTAAGTACCTAATTAATTAATTAGTAGTCGAGAATTATATTAGAAGGCGAAAAAAATATAGGAAATTACAATGGCTAGGCTTGTACAGAACTGGCAAGTCTCTAAAAGGTGCTTAGAAATAAACATTGGAGGAATAAATTAAAGAGAGTGAAAAAGTATATTTTAAAAAAGTTTAAACAAAAATTAACAAATTAAAATTGATTTTATTTCAATTTAATTGACATTTCGTATTAAATGGCGTTAAAAAATGCGAAATTCTTTTTGAATTAAAAACGAATTGAATAACGGCAGCAACTTTAAATGTTTTTTTAATTACCTTTTTTAAAAACTAACTCTCTCATTACTCTCTTCTGGATGCTGACAATAATTATTGCTACCTAATTCAAGAATTTAGTGCTGTTTGTTTACCAAATTTGTCATTAAAATAGTTGTGTCTGAATTAATTGCAAACCCAACTAAATAATAATATAAAATGCGGTTTCCAATTCAACAGCAAAATCCATAGCATACTTTTATGCGCAACAGCTTCCTACGAATACTTGAACTCAGCAAAGACAATTTTGTATTATAAATTAACAGAGAACGCTTCATAATGTGCTTTGAGAATAATTTAAGTAAGTTTTGAGCCGAATCGTTCCTTTTGATTCGCCAATATTCGACTTGAATGTCGCAGCTAATGCTGAAGCTGAATGGCTACCAATTTTAAATTTATATGTAAATTACTAAATATGAAGACTAATTGAGAACTTTGCAGGCAAACAGTCAAAGGTATGATGTTGCTTTGTATCTTCGACATTTGATAGAAGAGAACACTTCAAAAGGAATATACTTTCCCTTTTCAAATTTGCAAAAATATTTATTTGCTCCTCACTCCCATAGAGAAATAATAAATATTCATTTCAGCAACGAATCACATGCGCCTGTATCTGAGCATAAATATATCTTAAGGACATATAATGTGCTGGATAGTGTTATGGCTCGTACTAGTTCATATCCTTATGCTGATACTCTTGCTATTGCTGTTTCGTCCGCTGCATGTGTGCAAATGTAGAGAAGAGAGAATAACTGATTGAGATTTCATTAATTTTATCAAAATTGATGAGTTCACTAGAGTTGCTGATATATTTTTAGACCAAGAAGGCCGTACTCGAATACTCGTATACTTGCGGTGAATGTAAAATGCAGAGTTGACAAATACTCGGCGTATACTTGATGTGCCACTAATGTCGAAAAATAAAATAACAATGGCAGCCACAGTCAAGCCAGTGCAGTGAATAAATGCCGCTAATGCGCATTGATTTTCACATCCACTTCCTTCATTGTTCTTGTTGTTATTGTTGTTGCTGGTGCTGCTATTTCTGTTGATGTAGTTGTTGCTGCTGCTGCTTTTTCCTTTACTGTTCGTTTGGCAGCTCTGGTTTTCATCTAATGGCAGGCAGCGGATGTGGTTAAAAGCATTTGCCGGCTACCTTTTTCATACGCCATTAAATTTGCATTTGCTGCTGACTGGCGCAATTGGCCATAGAAGGTTACCACATTACCTGAAATTACGTTGGAATGAGGCGGCGAGCGCGGAAAAACAGAACACAGTGCCTCGTACACACCGAAAAAAAGTTAATAGAGTTGGCACAGGCACAAACATATAACTAATATATAAGCTATATGTAAAACAAAGCCGATATTTCACAAGTAGATTGACAAATGCTTTCAGTTTTTGCCAGCTCTTATAGCTGTCTTATGTGATATAAAAACAAGGCTCTTGATTGAAGTTTATCAGCAAATATTGCTTGCAATCATTAATTTCTTGATTAAGTTGCAGAACAACACTTTTGTTGCTCCGTTTTATTTCTATTCGATCGAATTTTCACTAAATATTGTAATCACTCATCTTAATGGACAGCTACACCTTTTAAAAAACAAAGTATTTTTGCATTTAAATAAAAAGTAAATACATAAATAACAATCAAATACTTGTATGTATACATAGTATAATAAAAGAAATGTATTCCATGCAAAAATCAGAAAAGCTGGCAGGCACAGCTTTGTTTTCTTTTCTAAAATGAATCTTTAAATTATGCAACATTATTCTATATTTATTGCAGAAATTGCTTAAATTGTTTGCTATTTAGACAGGGAGTGTGTTAAAAATATCAAAATATAAATACATACTCGTATGTGTTGCAGTTAAAATAATTTAGATTAAGTCAAGCTGAGCATTTTATCGATCTTCATCAGCAGCTGCTCCCAAAATGTCGCCGGCTCCGGCTGCTGGCCATAGCTGAGAAAGATGATGAATATGGCCACAATTCCAAATATATAAATAAAGGTCATGGGAGTGTTGATGAAGAACTCGCGTATCGATTCCGAGCTGGTTCTATTTAGCCGCCCACCTCGTCCGCCCACGGATCTGTCCTTCTTGTGCCTTCGATAAGGGCCCACAGCGAATAGATCCTCAATTTGTTCGCGACGCCTCACCTCGTTGCGCAGCTGATGAACGTGCTCGTAGAGCTCAAGTGTACAGTTGACCAGATCGCGCGTGACATTATCATCTCTGGTGACACCCACATCGTACAGAGGTATAGACCGCAGATCTTTGGGGGTCGGATACATGAAGTCGCTGGTTTGCAGCATAAATCGACGCTCGCGCTTCGGGGCTGGCACAATGCATGCGCGCTTAGGTGAGGGTAGATGCTCATTAGTGGTTCGAGAGTAGTGCAGTTCTTTGGAGGAACTTTCGATGGACTTCCGGCTTTCCAAAAACGGGTTGCGACTAACCTTTACTGGCACCACAGCAGCCACTTGTTGGGCCTGTTCGGTATGCTGGGTGTTCTCCATCTGCTGTAGAGCGTAATCCACATATTCGCTGAGATCATCAAGCTGTACTTTTGTGTCCTTTCTGTCCTGATTCGAGCGCTTCTCAAAGTCCGTTCTTGCAGTGTAGGAAATGGCAAAGTTTTCAGAAATTAGCGTTTCATGCTTTTTCGGGCGACTACTCATACGCATTTCTTTCTGACGCTTCTGCTTCTGCGTGTTCTTACTGCCCCCAAGTGCTTGAGACATGGGCGGCGATAGTTTCTTGGGGCTATAGTTTATCTCTTGTTTATTGATGGGCCGTACAAACTGATTATTAAACAATTTGCTCAACTTTTCATGTTTTGCGGGAGTGCGTGGTGTTGGAACATCCACTTTTTCATTTGGCTTTTTGTTCTCGCTCTCATCTGACTCCGAAGCTTCTCCCACATCCGTTGTTGTATTTTTGTTTATCTGTGCTAGCAGAATATCCATAACCCCCTTGGCAGTGTCAACCCCACTTTGCATCTCAAGTACCTGATACACATCGGCGGCGTTTACGAGCTCGAAAGGTGGTTGAGTTACAGGCGTGGGTTTTACCAATACCCGCAGCCGTCCCTGATCGGAATGCGAAGAGCGAGAAGCTAGCGTTGTTTTAGACGATATATTAGATACTATATCTAAAACAGCAGCATTGGACTGAGCTGGATTTGTCAAACGAGGGGTCAAGGCGTCTAGAGCTTCAGATTGTGCCTCCAACTGAGGTGGTCGAATCGAATTCGTCAAGTCGTCTAATTCTTCAGATTGTCTCTCCAACTGACTTGGTCGAATCGAAATCGTCTCTGCCGATAATGACTTCTTATTGTCCAGCTCCTGCTCCTGCGGTCTACAGTTCAACCATTCACGATCACCCAGTTTTTCTGGAAATTTGCCAAATTTGTGGAAAAAGTGTGTTAAGAATAAAGAGGGGAAACTAAAAAAAACTGAAACAATATTCTTCGTTAACAATTTTTTTTGAAATGTGAAATTTGGTGCAAAGGGTAGAAGGAAAGCCAACTCCTAATAAAAGGAATTTTAAAAACTAATGCACTGTTTTGAAACCGATTAATGAATTAAATTAGCAATCAGGCTGGTAATAGTTTTATTTGTGATTTTTGAAGTACTTGAATAAAATGTTTTTCTTTTGAACGAATTTTTTAAATTTGTAAAGAATTTCAAAGAATTTTTAAATATGTAATTCAATTTTTTAAACAACTTAGCCGATGCTACAAAGCTGGCGCTATTATAGACGATCTATTAAATTCAATTATTTTTTTAATTTAAAAAAAAAATCGAGAAGAATTGGAAAATAATAGAAGTAGAAAATATGAGAAAAGTACTCGGGGCCTACACCGTTTATTTTCCTATGCTTTCTTTTTGAAGAAAATAATAAGAAAATATGAATTAGGAAACATTTCGTATAAATTAACCAATATTTACATCTATTCCGAGTTGATATTTATGAAGAAAAGTTTATCAGATTACATACAATTTGAATGCAAATAAAGAAAAAATGAATAGATATAGAAAAAAGTCGAAAATATTAAAAAGACCTGTGGATGGACACAAAACAATAATATTTTTTACTAAAAAGTTTGCCATCATTACGACCCTGATGGGATTATAATTGTAACTCCAAGGAGTATTTCAATTACCTTTACAAATAGAAGCATAAACCAACAACTAAAACAGCTCTGTTACCAATCTAATCTGGCAGAATTGTATATAGCTATTAAGAAGGCGAAATTTGAACTAAGGAATTGATCAGTACTTGTATCTCATTTGTAGAAATTGAATAAAAACGAGAATTTAAAGTTCATCCAACCAATCAACAATTTTAAAAGGATTCGTTGTGTGCAAAGTTAATAAATTAAATAAAACACATTACTATAAATTCCTGTCAACTGAAAAGTAACTGAAAAAGAATAGTCTCTCAATAAACATTCTCAATAAACATTGTTGTTAAATATTATTTTCTTTTTTAAATACTCACCAGTTGCTGTTGCGGGGCTCGTTTTTGTGGTTGCACCTTGCACTTGCGTTAGGTCTTGTATGGGTGTCCATTTGCGAAGAGGACGTCGCTCTGGTATTTTGGAAGCCTGCGGAATCGGTGGACGACCCACTAGTGTTGGTGCCTTCAGAATTGATGGACGACCTGCGAGTTTCGGGGGTCGCTTGGGCACTGGAGGTGGAATGCGTTTCGCTACTTTCTCCATTGGCTGCTGCTGTTCTTTCTGTTCTTGCTGCTGTTGGTTAAAAACTGCCTGCGGCTTTTGAAAATTAACTTTCGTCTTTTCTTCGCCTTGTTTCTCTTTCTCTAAATATGAAGTCACAATTGTCTTAAACGGCTGTTGTCGCTGCTCTCTCAGTTTTGTCTGTTTGTTTACAACTCCTGTTACTCTTCTCACCTTCGTCTCGCTAGTATTGGCCAGCATTTTTGATTCCTTTGCCATGGGCTCTAATGTCCCATCGAGACGCTCAAAAACGGGATTGAAAAAGTTTTTTATGTCCATGCCTAATTGCTCTATATATTTGTTTTCCACTCCAATTATCTCGCCCGGTGCCTTTATCCAAGTGGTGTGATCCTCTTCGCATACTTCATAGGAGGGCGTCTTCCGCTTCTGTGTTATCCCCATAAGTGAAGACTTACGGGCCAGTCCATAGTTATTGACCTTGCACTTGGCCGGGGCAGCTGGACGATTCAAACGGATTTTTGTCGCTTCATTATCCACACGGTTCCCATTTCGCAAGCGATTCTTAAAGCAACAAATTCATTTCCGTCTATTGTAAGACTTTTCGAATGCAGAACTTACCATGCTCAAGTGTTATAAATGCGTTTCTCACTTATACGTCTTTCAATATAAACTGATTTTATTGATTATTCCAGTTCAAGGCAATCTTTTCAATGCTTGCTTTTAACAGCATGAAATATTTTTGAAGCACAAACGTATTATTTCGGGAGAAATACACTTTTGTTTTGTTTTATTTATCTGTCGGTACATTAAATTATAATTATTAAAATATATTTTAACATTTTATATATATTAAAATAAAAAAATTAAAATGAATAATCTAAGCTTAAAAGATAAAAAAGATGATGCAAAGAGTTTTCTTTGTTAAGTCTTTGTTTGTTTGGAAGAGTATAAGAAGAAAAAGCTATATCAAGAAAGTATTTGAATTATAATGTTGACATTTGATTTCAGAAACTGGTTTCAGCCCGGTTCTAAAATAATCCATTATTCTTTCAAAATGTCTTCCAACTCTAGTTACAGACAGTACCAAAAAGCTTCATTCAAAGTTCTTCAAAGGTACACTCCTTTCCACTTGAATAGGATACTCTCTAGACTATTTTTGCAATTTGTATAGCTCTAAAGCAAATTGATGAAGGACACTCAATTAGTTTGATCGTTATCCCCATTTACACTCTGTCTTAAGACAATAAATTAAACAAAATTTCAGTTAGCTATAATTAATATTAACAGACACAAAGAGTTTCCAGTGAAACTTTCTATTATATTTTACTTATTTTCAATGTGAGGTTGAGATATAACTCATTTGGTTAACTAGTTTTTAGCCGGATGATCGAGAATGTGCATTCTTTCAAGTCTACTTACGGCTAGTCTATTATCTATTATATTTTAGATTTAGGGCTAGGTTATTTTCGTGGTTTTGAAGTTAGTTCAAGTAAGTAGGACATTTTTTGATCTTTGTTAAACCCATTAATGCCAGTTGTTAATATAGAAAAGAATAAAATATCTTGCGCAGCAACTGAAAAAAATTGTGATCTTTGTGTTAGCATGCATTTGAAAAATCGGCAATTTCAATGGGTCTTTCTTATATTCTAGATATTATTTAAGTTTCAAATTCTACTTTCCGCTATATACTATAGTAAATCAGTTGGGAGACTCATTTAATTCACCAACCATCAGCCCAACCCTTATTTTCTGAAGTCAAATAGAAATTGTGGAGTAAGTATCCGCAAAATGCCGTTGGCGCCATTTGAAAAATTGGCACATGAATCATTCATGAAATGCAAATCGCAAATCGAAAATCTTTACAGCAAACACACAAAAGGCCAGCGACGACAAAAGCGCTAAACAATGCAAAATGTTAAATAATTATTTGAAACAGTGGAAACACAACAACAATAGCAATTGAAACAACGCAATGTTTACTGTTTACTTTTTCGTAAATTTATTGCCCAAAACACCTGCCCTTTCAATCCCTTCCAAAGCTCCAAAGAGTATGCATTAAAAAAATGTTATGTACATTGGAAAGGTCAAAGGGGGGGAGGGGGCTTGGTTCGATTTGGGTTTATGTGTGTAAACACACGCACACACAAACAATGGACCAGCAGACCAACGGACCAGCAGCTCTCATAATAATAGTAGTTAATATGTAAACTGCCAAATCGTGGGTATTAAATTAAATAACACCTTTGGCAAATACAACAAGCTATGCGCACAAACAAACAAATGAACGCGTTTGCCTTTTGGCCATGGACTGTGGTCGAAGAATGAGTGTGGGTGGTGTGCGTGTATTCGTGCGTGTATTCGTGTGTGTATGAGTGTGTTTGTGTGTGCGTGTTGGGCCTGAAGCTCTGCAACCGAAAGTGGCTTTAAATTTTCGCAGGTACAGTAAACGGGCCACAACGAACTGAAGCTCTGCTCCGGCCATTATGTTCTAACGGGCATTTTGTTTACTTCAAAGCAATTAAAAGCAAACCAGAAACAGCAATGGCCGGCAGACTTGGCAGGCAGCAGCAGCAGAAGCAGCATACGAGCACTATTCTCGGATAGTCGTCGTATGGCATCAAAAGCAACTTCATCATATTTGAGAGGAGAGCTTGTTGTATTTGCTTAGTTTTGTAAACTCCTGCAGTTCCCATTCACATATTAGAGATGAGAGCTGGTGCGAATAGCATTTGAGAGAGAACTTTAGATCATTTTAGCGGAGGCCGCAAAGTATTCTATGTTCAAGGTGCTTTCAAATAAAATATTAGGTCTTTCGAAGGCAAGTGTTGTAGAGAAGTGTGCTAGGCCCTGAACAATTATTTTCAATCCTAACATTTCAATTCCATTAGACTACTTGTATTATTGAATGGATTTTACGATTTCCACAAGATTTTTTAATGGAATTTCATGAATTAGTTGTAAACGCCGGAGAGATTTTAAAACAAAATTTGTCAAAAAAAAAATATTTGTATTAAAAAAATAATAACAGAAAAAAGATTTAATCGTCAGACATGAAAATTCTCAATAAGAATACTTCTAGTAATTCAAATACTTATTCATATTTATATTACAAATAATAGAGTTAATATAGCGAATATTTTTTTATCCAGTGGCTATACATATTTACAATTTCTTAATAAGATCATTTATAGGAATAATAAATAATAAAGCTTTTAAGATTATATAATATAAATACATAATTAGCAAAGTATAGAAATTTCAAGTGAAGATTTCATCCAAAAATGTTTTTACTGACTACTTTAGATTCATTCTTGTTAAATCAAACTTTATTAATTTCCGAGAGTCGCTTTAATCATTTTTTAAAGCAAATTTCGTATTCCAAAAACTAAGCAGAACAATAGCAGCATTATATTTACTTAGTTATTTATTTATAAACCTATCCTAGCATTACAAGTATTATATTTATTTAGTTATTTATTTATAAACTTACAAGTAATAGATTACTTTTAAGTTCAATTTAATTCAGTTTACGATAATTACAAATTTGATTTAGTTTAACATGACGTTGATCATTAAAATTACGAATTTCTTTATATATGTATATGTTTTAAAGCAAACCATTCAAAAAGCAATGCATATGAAAAGTACAACTAGGCATCACATTTATTTTAAAAAACATAGAAGAAACTTTTAAATGAAACTAAAATTGTTCAATAAGTGACTATACACTTGTATTAATCAAGTTGCATTTCAAAAATGTTAAACATTTTATCATTAAAGCATGAGAGCATGAGGCTTGCAATTTATGAATCCAAGATCACGGCACACGCTCCTCCCTAGCAGAGGGGCATGGCCCATTTGAAAAGTGGAAAAACGCCTCCCAGTAAAATGGCTGCTCAAGCAACGAACGTTGTTTGTTGTGTCAGGATATCATTTCAAGTTGCCTGCTCAAAGCATGTGTGTTATGTGCCCCATTCTACTCGCACTGCCGCTGCTGAGGACAAATGGCCATGGGCTGTAAAAGAAATACTATACGTTTACCTGCAACTAAAATTGAGTAAACGCTGTCATTACGACTGCAGCAGCCTTGGACGAGGGTTGAATGAACACATAATCGTATATGGATCTGGTGTTATGTATTTTGCAATTAGTTTGAATGAACACAGAACCAAACAGCCTAATTTTTTCATATTAAGTATATCCTCGGAGTATACATATAGTCAGTGTATTTGAATGAACACAGCAACCCTATTTTTTCATACCATATCCTCTGGCTATACATAAGTTTATTTGAAAAGCATCAACAAAAATAAATATAACCCCGTATTATTTCTCGAAATAGTTTTCTGTTAATATTTAATTGTTAAATTAAAATAATTAATACTCTTTGAATAAACATAGAACCTGACAACCCTATTTTTTCATACCACATCCTCTGGCTATACATAAGTTTATTTGAAAAGCATCAACAAAAATAAATAAGTATAACTCCCTATTATTTCTCAAAACAGTTTTATGTTGTTAATATTTAATTGTTGAATAAACATAGAACCTGACAACCCTATTTTTTCATACCACATCCTCTGGCTATACATAAGTTTATTTGAAAAGCATCAACAAAAATAAATAAGTATAACCCCGTATTATTTCTCAAAACAGTTTTATGTTGTTAATATTTAATTGTTAAATTAAAATAATTAATACTCTTTGAATAAACATAGAACCTGACAACCCTATTTTTTCATACCACATCCTCTGGCTATACATAAGTTTATTTGAAAAGCATCAACAAAAATAAATAAGTATAACCCCGTATTATTTCTCAAAACAGTTTTAATTTATATTTTTAATTTTCAAAGGATCAACAAATATAAATATACCCCCTTTTATTTCTCAAAATGGTTTTTAATTGTTAAATTAAAATAATTAACACTCTTTGAATGAACATAGAACCTGACAACCCTCTTTTTTGTACTAAATATCTGGCTACACATAGATTAATTTAAAAAGCATCAACAAATATAAATATAAACTCGCATTAAAGCAGTTTTATGTTGTTAATATCTAAATTACAAATTAAAATAATAAATACTCTAAGAAATGCATATCTTTAAACGATAAATTTTCCGAATGAATGCAGGCACGTTTAACAACTTAACAACATCTGAATTGAAAGCAAAATGCTAATGGCTTTTGAAGTAAAAGAAAAGCACAACCGCCCCTAACGAAAGCTGACTTGCCACTTTCCTCGCCACTCGTATGCAAATGTACACATAAGAGGACTTGGGAATCGAACCAAAGCATATCACTTTGGCAAAACACTTCGAGTGTTCACTTCTTTTGTTCATTTTATTGATAAAGCATTCGACACAAAAATAACTTTTAAAAAAAAACAATTAAATTTAATAAGAAAGAAGTTCAGCTCTAATCACTGTAGGTTATGAAACGGAGCAAAAGTTCCAAAACCACCTGTACAGCACTACTAATAAAGAAACAGACGAAACATAATCCAATCACCATATCCACATCATTATATTTCTTGCGATTCGGATCACAGTCAATGGAGACTGATTTCCCAAAATATATAACCACCACACTGAGCGTTATGAACATCTTACAAATGAAAATACAAGAGCGTTCCCAACGTGTTAGCGATCTCTGCCCGATGCCATAACGCCAGGGTCCAATAATCGGTTGAAACAGATACCAATTTCCCATGTAATTCTCCATGGACATGGCAAAACGTAACTTCCACGAAAATGCATCCTTAGGCGTTTGCTTGTCCCGTATCAATAGACGGGCCCTCATATAATTATTATCGGTGGGGGTTCCCCGCAGCCAGCACATGAAGCGAAAGTTTTGCGTATGTCCCGTCAGCATATCGTGTACGACGACATTTCTACAATAGTAATGGGGATATATACCTGTATTATCATGTCCAAGTGCCAATCGTGCCGGCAACTGAACCAGTTCGCGTTGCAATCGAAATGTGATTGTCGTATTCCGATCGAAATGGTGGATCAACGGATTCTGATAGACCACAAAATCAAAGGTGCCTCGGGCCGAGATAAAGGAGAATATCAGATTGGCCGATGTGCCCGCATTATAGCGTCCGCCAAATGTGAACTTTACGATAATATCGCCCCGACGACAGGGCTTACCAGTTCGTCGCTGTTCCACATAGAGACGCTTGTCGTGCTCCATCGCCGACTGCATGTTGATGTATAGATACAAAATGGCCACAGCTGTGATGAAGATATAGAATCCTATCATCTGATAGTTTCGCTCAACCTTTGGCTGTTCCAGGTGACACTTTGGCTTCATGGTGGTCACAATAATGGGCGAGGCATCGGCATCGAACGCGCTCACGTAGTCGCATTCACACTGAATGCCATCAGTAACGCTTTTGTTCATTTCCGGAATGCAGGCAGTGTTTTGCCAATCCGGCTCGGGCCGCGTAAATGCCCACAGGCGACAAAATCGTATTTCCGTTGAGAACGTAAAGGTGGCACCACCGGTCTGGTATTCGTCCCACGGCTCCTTACGATTAGCCGCTCGCAAATAGATGTAGACGCGTCGAGACTCATTACACAGATTGCGGAACAACAAAACGCTGGATGTGTTTTTCGAAGAGCTAATCAAACACGTAGCGTCCTTTTGATCCATGTCCTCCAGCTTGGGCACATATGTGGAACGTAAAAGTACCTGAAAGTAAAGAGAGAAAGACGAATTCACTTTTTGAAGTGAAACTTCTTATGCGAGGTTTTCGAATAAGCAACCTTTTCGGTGACGAAATTTGTGGTTTTCGTGGGACTGCAGATATATTTTGAATGGAAATAGAATTGCGTTGCAGAGGCTCTGAGGTTTTCGTAGGACTGCAGATATATTTTTAATGGCAATAGAATTGCGCTTCTAAGGCTCGGCAACTATCGGTGAAGGCGGGTGTTCTATCAATTTTTTAGCAGGCTTTACAACTATTTCTAGCTGTTTTTCTATCAATTTTTTAGTGGATTTTCTAACCATTTTCGATTTTTCTAGCCATTAACGGATTTTGTATCCATTTTATATCTATTTATAGCAGTTTTATTTCCATTTTCTAGCATATTCTACCCGGTTTTAGCTGGGTTTCTAAATATTTATAATGAGCTGGATTTTTAAGGAGACTCTTTTTCTATTAATACCGGATTTTCTAGTCACTTTTAGAGAATTTTCTACTGATAGTCGAGTTTTTCGCCATTTTCTTCGGTAACCGACAGCGATAACTTTATATAACTCTCAATTGAACGGTTTATAATTCTCCATTTTGTGCAGCTAAGCAGAAAAGGCTGCGCTGCCTATGCTCTTAACATAAAGATATCCTAACCTCACTTATAAATACATAATGCTTTAAGAAAGTTAATAAATTGAAACTTCATTTTTCTTGTAAAACATCGTACATCGGATAAATCAATTCGGAAGCAATGACGATGCTGCGTGAGAAGAAAGGATATACGAACGTACCTGATAGTCGATATCGACATGCGTGAAGGTTATTCCCAGGATGGCATGGCCAAGTACATCGGCATGATACATCCTGATCTCCTCTGAATTGTGTACATTATCATTGACGACATTTTCAGCAACCGGCTCCGGTTCATCGAATCCAGCTTGGCGTGCTTTACGCGTAAAATTGGAGTCGGTGGTGTTTTCTGTATTTTGCTCATCTATTCGAAATTTGGAAATGAATCGTATAGGTACGTTAAGCTTCCAAGTTCGCTCCCAAATTTTACGTGACGAATAAATGTTGACGACCAGCACCTGGGTCTGGGACTCCTGCTCAGGATACCACCAGAACTGGCTTTGGTTGGCGCTGCGCATGGAAATGAGGATTTCAGTTGTGTTTAGGCGCTCGCGTACATCATTGATGAATTCCTCCGACAACAAGACCTCATGCATAAGGTTTTTCGATGTCAAATGAAGCGACGTTTTCTCCTCAATATCGAATGCCTCCATCTGCATTGTAAAGGTGTTTCGTTGCATCACCACAAACCCCTCGCCAGGCTTCAGGCGTTGCGCTGTGCCCATGCCCAGCAAGAAAGCGCAGCTGCTGAGCTTCCAGTGGGCATGCATCCAGTTGTTCACTATCTCCAGATGATGTGGATGCAGCAAATGCATCTGCTCATGCCGGTTGCCATATATATCAATGTTCAGGCATGACTGCGCCTCGGCGTGGCACTGCGCGTCTGGAATGAATTCCCATTCGTGATAGAAATAGTCAACAATATCCAGTAAATCATCTACCATAACATTGTAATATTCTTCCATCAGGCTGTCCAATTCATTGTTTGCAATGATCAGTTCCAAAGCATGTGCTACGATGCCCAATAAACGTGCCACCAGCATGGCCTCCATATCATTGAATGGCGCTACAGTTACGGTTATTTCGCGAGCGATACGCGCCACATGTGCCACCTGGAACGCAGCCTGGGGCAGATAAACGGACATGGCATCGGTAATTTGTAAGAGTCTCTCCTTTGTGTCGAACTCCCTAACTAATTGGTAGATAATTAAAAAGGCTCGTTGCCAATCTGCATACTCTAGCCACCTGCGAATAAGCTTTATTGCAGAGTCGAAGCTAGACTCCGATGATTCGTAGGGAAATGGTTCCACATTCACGTCCACTTTCACATTTTGACAAACATTGTAGGGATCACATGCCTGTAAAATGTGCAACTTATTATATTTTTAAATCATCAAATTTGCAACTCCTTCGTCACTCAAATATTTTTCAATTTCAAAGCCTCTAGCAAATACACAGTGTGTGGGGGTAATATTTGAGTGACAAAGAAATAAACAAATAAAAAAAATATACCTAATAATAAAAATAAAAAAAATACAATTAAATCACTTCGATAATTAAAGAACTAACTCTTAAAAACAGCAGTGCAATCATTGTTGAGCTACCAATGTATGTTTGTATGTATAGTGGAATGGCTGTGAGCTTAACCGACTGTCTTTGCTTTGCTTTGCAACAACAAAAACGCATGTGTGTGAAGAGCAACAACTTCTAATTATAACCGTCCATCGATAAAGAGTGCTAGACAGCAAAACGAGCGATGGCACGAGGAGGCTCTTTCGGCTCTCAGTGCTCTCGGCAAGCCCCACATGCAGAATACCGAACACGAGCGAGCTTACAAAAACAAAATACATGCAGTGGTGGCCAGCCAGCCAGACACATAGACAGATTAATGCAATAACGAGTGCGTGTGTATTTGCTCGTTTTTCAGCAGTCAGTTGTTTTTGTTGTTGTGCTCGCCATTAATAATGTCACGCCCACCACTGCTTCGGCTACCACTACAGCTGCACTTGCAGATCAGATCTCCGCTGCAGGGAGAGCAAGAGAGCGCTCTCACATTGCATTGCCCAAATGAGAGCCAGAGAGTGGCCAACGGTAATTGATTATGAGTTGTAAATGCTAAAAATGTAAGGCAAACTGCCGCTGCGCTGAACAGTTATTCGATAAATAAAAAAACATTAATACACTGACATAAAAAATAATATTATTTGTCGGCATTTGCCAAGTCCGCTTTATTTGAATTCAATTTTAAAACTAAACTAATGAAGCTATCTTAGCCCTAACGATGGCTACGGTGACTGTGACGTTGCCTGTTGATTCTGTTGCTTTAAGTTGATTTAATGGCGCTGCTCTGGATAGTGCATCGGAAATCATTCAAACACGCTAACTGTTAATTTTTAGGCTGATATTATGGTTAACGAAAGTACTAAAAGGACAGCAGGCAGCTTCAGAAAGCGGTCAAAAGAAATTAGTTCACTAGTAAACAAATTTACATAACTCTTCTATAACGTACTGGAATGCTGCATAGGATCCTTTAATATCAGGATTATATCAGACATTAACGTGGGAGATTAAATTCAACGATTACTGCTTTTCTAACCAAGCTCTAAAAAGGTATTCCTTCTGCTGATATTCAAAAAACAGTCAACTGTGCGTTTTGTAGAAAGACGATCTGATAAAGAAGATCGAAAATTGATGAAACCTACTCCAAAGGGAGTTCTAAATGGAAACTATAACTATTTTTTAGTAGTTTTTTCAAATATTTGTTTTATAGGAAAACGATCCGAATGGAGTCTTTAAATACCACATTTTTTAACAGCTTTAGCTTGAATGTATGATTGATGTTGGAGGTATGTTTTTGTTGAAGATGAACTAACATAAGCAGCAAGCAATCTTTAAAAATGTGAACAAATAATATGCTTTCATTATTAAATGACATTAAGCCAAGGAGTAGGCCAACATGCAGCTAAAGATAATCCAATATAAATTCTGCCACGAGGGAATATTGTGTTAACAATATTTTAACAATAATGTGCAAATTTAATGAATATGCATGCAATTTCGATGCTAATTGGATTATAATTAGCTTTCATTCCGCGTCAAAATATGGAGTGGAAATATAGATAAATAACATGTGCTGATTAGGACTTGATCCAACCTACCTTAACATTAAGATTTTTTGTTGCGGGCAGTCGCATCTTAAAGTTTTCATCCTTTTTGCAGTCTTCGATTAGTAAGCCGCGAACGGATATACAGTATTGCATCGGTCGAAAACGTGTCTGACCAGCTTGACATTTAAAATCGAATGTGGTTTCCAGAGCGGTTCCCGATTGGGGTTCAATTTGACAGATGCTGTCAATGGGGCCCTGATTCCTTTCAAGTATTACCCACGTTCTGCCGTGATAGTACAACCATTTTCCGTCATCACTATCCCATTTCTTGGCTTGAATATCTACGCGTATATTAACCTGGCGATTAACTGTGTATGGTATTTCGTAAATAAGTCGATTCGTGTTCTCCGCAATAATTTCCTCCTCGAATCTCCAAGTCCAATTAAAAACTTTCATGCCGTGACATCGCACGCACTTGGCCTTCAGATGTACAATCTGATCGGCTGAGTATTTATTTCCCGCACAATTAGTTTCGCATAAGATGTTCACGTGAACGGTGCGTCGGGATCTCGTGAATTTAATGATTTGTTTGGCGACGCCGGCCCGCACTGGATCGAAGGTGGACTGAACCATTAGGGAAACGTAACAGTCCTGACCATGCGGCTGAGAATACGCTGGGATTTTGAATGTCATATCTGGGAAAAGAATAAATATTTGCGACCCACTTGGCTATATATTCGATAGCTTTGTAGCTTACTTGTGCCCATATCTTCCTTGCAAGTGCGGATAATTTGACGATGGTGGCACTCGCACGACCAATTATATATCAAGTGCTGGTTAGCGAAGGGCGATAGCGACAAGTCCCGACTCGGCAAGCCACTCACTTTGATTGTCTTTCCAAGAAACACATGGCGAAAGGCGCCGCCACGTATACTAGCTATTAGGCGTTGGGCCGCTAACGCCAAGTAGCACTAAAAATGTACACTTCCATGGATAATACAGATTCGAAGTGATTCGTTTGCTTACCCGGGCAACTAATGGCATGCTTCTCCCAATTATTCGGACGTTGAGACGCAACAACACGCATCGTGTATACTTTGATTGCTGATGTATATTAAGCTTATACTTACCGATCTTGATCTCGGGCACCAGGGTACCACCCAAGAAATCCAGAAGCACTAAGATCAGATTGGATTTGGAAAGGAAACAATGTTATAGTTGGGCAAGAACCCCAACAGCTTTTTCGGAAATTGTGTTATATGTGTTGTTATCAGGGCGTCTAGCTGAAGGAAAAGGAATAAGAAGAAGAGCAAACCCACTACTCTTCAACTAAATTAAATGAAGGAAGAATGACGGCGGAAATCTAAAGAATAAAATAAACTCGTATTGTCCGAATATTAGGAGCGTCTTCATACCAAGTTTGGTGAGTGTGGGCTCAGCCGTCTCCGAAATCCAGACGTTCATACAGACAGACGGATGTCAAGATCGATTTCCCTCTTCATGCAGAGTAACAATATTTATAATTTATGTGGTGGGAGAGATGCTGCCTGTTCCATGCTTTGCAGCAAATAAAAATCATATATCATGTAATATCTATCACATCACACTATATCTTACCTAATGTGCCAAATATTTTAGTTGGAATAACATTTTATTTTATATAAAACCGCACGTTTATGTATGTAGAAGAGACAATTACAATTTTTTTTAATCGTAGGGAAAAATGAGGCTCATTTTAGAAATATAATTGTTATAAAAAAGGAAGGTACACTTGAAGATAAACTGTAGGACTTCTAGCTCTTAAACATAAGCTGGTAGGTGGATGGACAGGCGGACCTGACTATATTGATTCCTCTCCTCATAAAGATCAATAATATTTACACTGCGAGTAAATGTACTTTCTGTGTGACGTACATCTGCACCCTTTTTGTAGAAGCTATACAAATCATTATGTTTTCACGGCATTCAAGGGTAATATTAGGAAATAATAGTTCTCACTACTTACCGTCTTCGGTGCTGTCGTGTAGAGTCCACGTATAGGTGGTATACTTATCCAATGGACAGTGGCGTTCGAATTCGGCGCGTAATACCAACACTGTGGCCGTATCATAGACCAGGGGCTGGCTGATGTTAAAGCAGCGCGGGAAAGTGAAGAACGGTGTACACAGTTTCGAAGACTTCTCCCTCGTAGTGACATACATGGAGGTGTGGACTATAAAAAATCGTTTGCTATTCCCTTCCAGGGTAATGCGCGACGATACATTGCGAAAGCCATCGTTGAAGAAATATGCATTGGATACATGATAATAGCACTGAGTGTAGGGCAGTTTCTTCACCGACGTAATTCCGAAAAATAAAAGGGTTTCGGTCAAATTTTTGGAGCGGTACCACAGCAGTGGTTCGAGCGGCTCACTCAAGTTGGTTTGAAAATAGTCAACGAGCCGCCTATTGTTTATATAGACCCTTGTGGTGAACCAAATGCTACTCATTTTCTCGATGGTTGTGAGAATGCGAGCGAAGCCACGATTCTGATGGCTATTGGCAAAGACGTGATAGTTGTGAAAAGGCTGTTCATCTTCGTCGGCATCAAGCCCCTTGGCTGTGCAAACGCCAATCAGTAGCAACAGTAGCTTTAGCAGCAACATTCTTAACGTAATAATCCCCAGAATTGCAGATGTGATGTCCTGAATTTTTACGGAAAGACTGCTTGATGGAAATGTATTGTAGGTCTCTAAAAGTTATAGTTACTCCAATACCACGATCAAGAATATAATGTTATTGCTAAAATCATAAACAAAACAAATAAATTGCTGATGAGTTGATACATCATCCAGGGTTTTCAAACCACATCCGCTACTACCCATCTTTCTTCAATAGAGAAAAACCAACTTTTAACGAACTATTTCGTGTTATTTTTTTCGTTTTTTTGAGAAAGAAAGCAACATTCTTCTTTAATAAGCCTCGTCGTCTTGTTTTGTTTGACAAAATAGTCTGAGTTCAAACCGGAAGTAACAGAATAGTGGAAATAATTACAACAACTATAAATAAAACAGTCACCAAACACGTTATACTTCTTCGTAATCGCAATACTACAGCTGACTGCACCCAGCACAGAACAGTGTTGCTTTAAACTGCAATCGGCGACTGCAGGTCTATCGATAACTGCCGGCAGTGCACTTCTGCCCATCTTCCTGGTTGGATATCCTTTCAGTAGGCTCAGCTGTTCGTTCTGAATCGAACTGCTCTCATGAATTAAATTTCAGTTACAACTTTAAGCCCAAAAAATCAAAATTATGTCCGAAAATGTCAAGTGTGCGGAAAAGAAAGAAATCAGCAAAAAGAAAGGCTTTATGTGCATGAAAAATGAGGATGGAGCCGGCAGATCGCCTAATCAGCTCGAATCGCTGCATGACATCAGCTCCCTTTCGAGCGAAACTGAGCTCGAGGACCCGAAATTGAAACAAGTAGATACCCATGGCTTAGAACGTGTGGTGCGGAAGGCTCTGGAGCAGTTTAAGGCGGCAGCCACATTCGATGACATCGATGCCCTCATGTCGGTGCTCATGCCGAAGATAATCCTCGACTTGCACCCCATCGAGCAACTGGAGCAGCAAGTGCTGGATACAAAACAGACACTAAAGTCCTACATGCAGAATGCCAATGCTCTGGATCAGGATATAGCGGACATATTTCTAGACTTGCACAACATCTACATAAAGCTAGAGCGCCTAGATAGTCGCAAGCGTAGCAAACAGCAAGCCGAGAAGCTACGAAAACGCGTGAAAGAAGCGGAAGAATTGCAAAAGAATTTCAAACACTATATAACAAATGAACGTCCACCCCAGAAATCGGAAGCAAAAGATGAACCAGAATCCACCCTGGCACCCACAAAAGATAATGAATTGATTCGGAGTAGTGGAGGCCCAATGCTCGCCGAATTCATGCGAAGGCTGACGATGTCGGAGTCGAACCCCAAACCGAAAGATATGGCAGCTGTGCAAATGGAAAAACACGCATTTTTGACTAACTTGGTAACGCTTAAGAAATCAGAGTGTACTTTGGATCTTAATCGCTTTAAAACATATAATGATGATGCCATGAATGGTACTGAACAGAGTCCCAAGGATCCCGACAATTCCGAAGAGTGAACAACAAATTCGCGATTGCGTGTAATGCACTAAAATTTATCGACAAAGCAAACAAAAACATTTGATTTAAACACTACTGAATAAATTGAATTTAAGTTTATTTTTTGGAGGTAGTCTTTGTGGATCAATATATCAGGAACCGCAAATAATGATTTCTTTTAAGCGAAAAAATCATTCAATGCTAATATCTCCTTCTTTTGGGACTTGAAATTAATAAAGGAATAAGAAAATAGTATATATACTTGTACTCGTATATCCTTAAACAATTACTAAAAATTAAAAAGAAATTAATATTTTAAATATATATAAGTATATACATATGTTTGATAGTATTTATAGAATGCAAGATGTGGCTCTGGTTTTCGCAATAATTTTTGTTTAATGGAAACATTTTTTTAAGCATGTTTTGATTTAGCCCAAAACTGTATTACAGGATATGTATAATTTTATCCAAAATTACAACTTGAGTTTTATTTTTGATAAAAAAAAATACAACTTATAGAATAATCATTATTTTATGATATTTTTTTTACTCAAAAATAATGATTATTGGTTCAGTTGTAAAAAGTAAAATTCAAAATTAATCACTTTATTGTGAGAGAATGTATAAAATTAAAAAATTATGAATATTTTTTAATATTTATAATAACACTTCTAATGACTTCACTCCCTGAAATATATTCCATTTGCATTTGATTCTTTCTTATTAGTTCGTTTAACCTTTTAATTAAAATATCCCTGTTGACAATTCTTGATCGCTTTGATGCTACAAACCCAACTCATATTTCCCAAGAGGTCTACTTTAACGTTGTAGTCCAATAGCCGTACTCCCTCCAGCTATCCAGCTTAAATCAAATGCAGACGACGCGTCGTCAACAGCTTTTGGCTCGAATACCCAATCCATATTTCGTTCATTTTTATGAGGCATGCAAAAAACTGCCTGCAAAAGCGAGAAAAAATATCTCCAATGGAACAAAACTACAACAACAACAACAGCCATGGTGGGCACTCGCTGTGTGCGTGCGTTGTCAACAATCACGAACAAATTGTCTATAAATACCAGCAACGTTAAAACAAACTCACTGGCTGGGGCGCACACCACTGCAGAGTGGAGAACACTGAGCCCCGAACATTGGAGTACCAGTACCCTGTAATTCTGTCCAAAGTCCCGATGGACAGACAAGTCGCACAATCTACACAGATAGCAGAGTAAGTTGGGGGGCCACGCACTATCGGCTGAAGAGTCAAAATTCTGACCTAAACTAGGCTTTAGCTTGAAGAGCTCAACATGGGAGTTTTACGAGTAACTCTATGTTGGCCAATAATTTAGGAAGTTCTCGCAATACTGCAGCTATCATAAACATTTTGAAAAAACTGCAAATAGAAACTTAACTTTTCACAACCCTTTAATTAAAGGTAACATATATTTTAGCTAAACTACAAGTATAGAGGTTCTTACACCTAGTTCTCGCAATACTGCAGCTATCATAAGCATTTTGAAAAAACTGCAAATAGAAACATAACTTTTCACAACCCTTTAATTAAAGGTAACATATATTTTAGCTAAACTACAAGTATAGAGGTTCCTACACCTAGCTGCCCGGTTTTTCCCCATATACCAGATCGTTGGCCATTAAGTTCGTATAAAAAATTAGTTTTGCAGCCAAAAAACAAAACAAAATTTAGAAATAGGATTTTTTATTGATACAATTATTTTAACATTACTTTTCTTTTTTCAATTTCTACTTCCTAATTTTAAAATCTTCCAGCTGTATCCGAAGCCTATATATTAGTGTATATTGTGGGTAGCTTACATTCCCATTATTTAAGAGATTTATTGTCTGCCGAATACAAAAGGTCTAGAATTGAAAAACTCTAGGATAACAAAAGCACCTCCTATGAAGATTTTGCCAGCATTGCTATACCGAGTTATAACGAAAAACGATTAACAAAATAAACCAATTCCTACCAACAACTTTAGGTTACCTTTTACGCAAGCTGTCATATTTTTAATTGGGCTTCAAGTCACTAATTTAGTTTTAGGCCTGCTTTTTTTACACACATAAATAATTGTAATTTTTAATAACATTTTTTAGATTTCATATATTTTGCATTATTTATTATAACCGATCGATTGCTGAAAAAGGAATCACTTTTAGGGGTATATATTTTTTTGTAAGAAAATCTGGTACTTACGAGTTTTCTTATTGTGGAACGATTGTTGAATAAATTATTTTGAGATTGTAGCTGAATTTGGTATTAAACTAAATCTGAAGTTTTATCAACATCCCTGTACCATATCATAGATTCTCTTAAAATTATCAATGATAGACAAGAAATTGAACTTCAGTTGAAAGGCAGTAGCGTGTTAAAAATGTAGAAAATTATATTCGCAATACTGGGAAGCTCTGCAAAATGTTAAATAAAAGTTAAACTTAGTTAGGAGGTGAAAAAGTCATAACTTGAGAATTTCAAACTAAACTAATCTTGTTATATAAATAAACAATAATAAATAAATAAATACTAAATAATAAAAAAAAAATAAATAAAGTCATAAGCAAGAATATAATTTTGCTTAAACTGCAATTTATAGCTTATGCTTTAATTCGATCTGTAAAATAAAATAGTTACTAAAGCATGTGTATTGCTTAATCTTTCGTGCTGAAGATTTTAAGCCTCTAAATTAATCAAGGGAAATTATAGCTCCTCTGCAGCAATTTAAATATAATTCCTATTAAATATATGACAAGATTTCAACTTCAATAAACTGTTTATTTGCAGCTGGCAGGCTTTCTAGTCCACTGTATCCTGTACCCTGTAGTATGCGTAACGATTGTCCGCCCCATAGCACCCACTGCTGTTTCCGCTCTGTCGTTTTTCATTACAGCGCATGTAACTTCCGGTTTGTTAAAGCGAAACGCACTCTGCAATGCCACAGACGTCGCGTTGGAGTCGTCGTCGTTGTTATGGCTGCTGACATCCGTGCAAACAACAAACGACAGTCGAGAATCGGTAGTCGGTAGTCAGTAGTCGACGGTATTCAGTATTCTGTATTCTCTATACGGTAGTAGTGGCCTACGCAGCGCCCTGCCATGGCAGCCACTGTGTCTGTCTGTCCGTCCGTCTGTCTGTCTGTCAGTGTGTCCGCTCTGTTTGTCCACACGTTTAGACTGAAAATGACAAATTCACTGTAGGTGGTGGTCCGCCGCACTGCTCCGCCCCACACCGTCATTATCCCTGTGCGTTGCGATTCTCCAACACGTTTGCTACTCAGCAAACACCATCATCAATTTCCGTGGGGAAATCACACAAAATTTTTGCACAAACAAATTGTTTGGCATGCCAAAACGTTGAACTTGTCCGAAAACCAGAAACTAGAGGCGGTCGCGCACCAAATTTTTGCATGCCATTCAAATCCAGATTTTCTGCCGACAAAACTCCTTTTGTGGCCGATTTATGGGGGTCCTAATACCCTCTCTGTCTCTCTTTCTCTCTCTCTCTCTCTCTCTCTCTCTAACCTTTAATTTGCTGTACGTTTAATTTGTTTGATGCTTACGTTTAAGTACCAAGGGTTTCTTTATGCCGTAACGACTGGTTAATGCATCGGTTGAGGTGAGGAAAGTAGTATGCCTTGTCTTCTCCAAATCGTGGAGTATCCTTTTGGTCCTTCTTTACTATACAAAAGAAGTGTACGCAAAAATGTCATATCCATAAAACACTGCTACTTAGGGTCTTGTAGATTAAAAGAATTTAGGGTTTATAATCTAAGAAAAGAAATAAAGACAGCTTCTGTATTGGTCGAATGCAAGATTAAGTTGAGGTCATCAAATGGAAGGCTTCAAGATACTTAGATCGTTTTAAAATCGAAAATACAATTTTTCTAATAAAAAGTATTTGTTATTTAATTCTGCTAGCTAGTAGAGGAGATTATTTCTAATATACTTATATATACATATATTAAAAGAAAGCTAGATAAATGGTTTTAATTATTTATCAATTAATTATTTATAATTTTAAACTAGTTTACTAATTTAAAATTATTTTTATCGAAACAAAAACATTTTAAGAATTCATATGACTTACAGTAAATTAACTAAATCAGCCCAATTATTAATGATAAAGAAAACGTCATCAAATGTAATAAAAAGGATATGAAATCAAATCAAAAACGTGCAATCCTTGTTTCCCTCTTAGCAGTAGACGCTTAGTGAAATTATAAATAAATAAATTATAAATAAATCATAGGAAGTAATAATAAAATAAAAATGGAATCAATAATCAAAATAAATTAATGAATTAGTTATAAATTGCTGCCGGTATGCAAAAAGTCCAGAAGATTGCCGTTGATTAAGCCTTTATAGGCAGATAGGGGAGATACATTCATTTCAGCTAGCAAATCAGCCTGTGGGATAGCTCATGACTAACAATACTTAATAATAATAATAATTGAATAATTTATTTATATAAATAGAAATAATTTAATAATTCATTTATATAGAAAGGCCCAGCGACTGACCAAATAGAAAGAGAACTACCAAAATAAATAAATGAAAAGAAAATAACTGAAAAATATATTAAGCGTTCCTCGAAGCTAATAGTTGCTGACCACCACCAATAATTTGTCCATGTCTGGATTTCTTTTAGATAAAGACCCCAGAAATTAACCCAATAAATCCCCTTGCCCTTCAATAAGTATACTATATTATGCAGTAGCCTGTTCAGTCTAGCCTTTCTAGTTAGCTTTTTCTCAATAACAACAATCATAGAATGATTGAGGCAGGTCAATAGTTCAGCATTAATTTGCCTTTGATAATACTCTCTCGATTCGGAGTAGGTGCAACATGGACATCATGTTCGTTGTTGATTTTTATTTTCGGCAAATCGCTCAATTAGTATGCATGTGGACTTTAAGCCTCTGATTAGCATTGGTGCTTGCAACAGCTTTTTCTGTAATTTGTTTGCTCAATTTTCGACAATCTGCCGCCACTTGTCGTGCCGCCACTGCCGCTCATGGCTGTTGTTATTGTTGTTGTTGTTGTTGTAGTTACTGCTGCCGTTGCTGTAATTTGCGTTGAACTTCTGACCGTAAAACTTTCAAAA